GACGTAATGATTACAGTTAACGTACCTAATTGTAAAAGTAACATGTTTATACCATGACGGAGGACTAGATCGAAGTGGAAAAAATATCAAACTACCTAACTTGTTAAAGAATGTAATATCACATTGTATCTTGAAGCAAATCAGCAAGCCCGTTTCAAAAACATCCATCCGATGCTCATTTGGTGTAAATGAGTTCAACTTAAAGAAGTTCAAGGAGTTATAAAGTTGATCTGATGTCATAGTAAAATACATATCATTTCATTTAACTAATATTAAGTTCATTAACATTTTCCAGAAGTCAGTTTTTTTTTTCTTCCAACCACCTCTAAGGTTGTGTTTTCAAATTTTCTTTCTATATATTTTTGTTATAACAATATTGTGTGTTACAAAAAGAAAACATAATACAATTTAAAACTAATTTATATTTGAATTTTTAATAAAAATGATGAGTTATTTTTTGAATTTTTAGAAATTATTGAAAACTGATGAAATTATTATTTGAATATTCAAAAACTTAAATAAGAACTGATTAGTTACTTTTTAAGTTTTGAAGTCGAAAAAAAAAGATTATTTTCTGAACTTTTAAGTTCTAGAAAGATTAATGATATATTCTATGAAAATATATATAAAATAAAAATTAAGAATTTGCATATGAATCTTTAAAGTTTTTATTTGATTTTTATAAGGACAAACAATATGACTATATACATATGGTTAAAATTTGTAAATTATAAATAAATGATATATTATTTTTTATAAATAACAAGACTTATTGTTTTTTCAATTTATTGATTTTAAATTTGATTAATATATAATATAAATATAAATTATAATTACTGTAAACTAACAAATTATTATTATCTATTAATTAAAAAACAAAAAAAATAAGAGAGTAAAAAAGAATATAAGAGAGAGAATTTTTTTTTTTAACTTTTAGGCGTTTTAATATTATTTATAAGTTCTTTTTTGACTTCTTAATAAGGAAATGTGCAAATAACAAACCTTTTTAATATTTTTTTAAGTGGTCATATTAAAGATCCCTTTAGAAATGATTTAATATTGTAATTATCATGGTCAAACATGGTTGATGTCACAGGGTCCCATTTGGTGGGTTTCATTACCTTCTCTAACAACCGTAGATCAATCTGACACGTCACATAATTGTACGGATCTAATTTTTTGTTTTCGTAAACAACAATTTAAATTAATCTCTTTTACCACGCAATAAATAATAAAAGTTAACCAATTTCCAGAGCTCATTTTACTTAATCCAGAACGACTTTTGTCATTAGATAGATAAAGCCGATATTTTTTTATACTATGAAGTTAATATAATTTTTAATTTTTTAATTAATATATTTATATTAGACATTAGACTAATCCATAATGAGCTATATTTAAAATTATATTACAATTTCAATCGTAATTTTACATTTCTTATTCAACTTTGTTTTTTGAGTTTGTTAGCTTGTATTGTATGTTATCATTTCGTTTTTACTTGGTTTAAATAAATACACTTAGTTAGATTATAAAATAATGTATTGAAGTTTCAACCCGACCAATCCAACCCAGCTTGCACAGTTTGGGTTGGGTTGGTTTGTATTTTGTTTGCGTTGGGTTGAAAATTTTCAATTCATAAACATTGAGTTGTATTGTTCAAATGGATTCAACGCAGCTAACTCGACCCATGTACAACCCTATTAACTCCAATTTTCATAGAAAAGAATTGAAACTCAAAATCAGATCATTCTCAAAATAAATATTTGTATATTTTTACTTTACTTTGTTTCAGAACAAATATCTCTTTTAAAATTAAGTATTTTATTTTTTACTTTACTCTTAAATATGAAGGATATAGATTTATAAGTTTCTCTTATTAAAGGTACAAATATCACTTAGATGATGTTTGTTTTTTAAAATGTGTTAAAGTCTGAAGTCTGATTTCACTTTTGATTTTTAAGAGGTGGTGTTGAAGTTTGAGATCTGAATCAATCAGACTGGTTGTTTTTACATCTGAAGTCTGAAATCTGAATCAGTCATATTGGTTATAGCAATGTTTTTGTTTCAACATGGATTTGTATTTCTTTCTTTCAAGGTTTTAGTCAAATAACAAAAAAAAATTAAGAGTTTTCCTTATGGTGGGTGGAGTTGAAATCAGTTGTATTATGAAATCTGAATCTAATCTGTCGATTACAATTTTATCATGAGATTCGTAGAAGAGAAGATTAGGATATCAGCAAGAGATGGTGATCTTCTTCGTCACCTTCAGATTTTGATTATGTATAGTGTTGGTCGTGAGAAGAATCGTGGATCATTGTAAGATGGGTCATCAGTGAGAAATAGTTGATTTAGGTATTAAGTGATAGGTTTAGCATTTGAAAATTCAAAGGAAACATCATTTAAACTCTTATTTTGAAAGAAAAAAAAAACAATCTAAAAATAGAAATGTTTAAACAATTCAAACTTAAGAGGTGATTAAGTGGAAATTTCAAAAAAAAAAAAAAAAACAAACACGACCTTAGCCTCAAATTGAATGTCTTTTTCATTGTTAACATTTATTGTATGACATTTTTTTTACATTATTATTCAGTCGATTGAAAAAGCATCATCCACATGACCACAAACTGATAAAACTTATAACTGTAATCACATTCATAACAAACCAAAAATACAGATTTATTGAACCAAAAATCAAAAAAACAATTCAAACCATTCAAACAAATCTCCTCTATAAAAACTATTGATGAACAAAAAATGCCAATAAAAGACCTACCACTTGGTTTATATTGATTAAATTAAACCTTATTGCAAACTTCAACCATTTTGTTAATAAAATTTAAATTTTGGTGACCAATTAGCAAATAAACAAAAGTTTGTTGTCATTTTATTTATTATGTTCAAATATGAGGACAAACAACTTGGTTCATATTCATTTAAATAAAGGGCTTTGTAAAGTTAAAGGCTTTGTAAAGTTTAGAGACCAAAGTTGAAATTAAACAAAAGTTCATTGTATTTTTTTTTTATTAACTTGGATATTCAACCCGTTATGCGAGCTGACTAATTCCAAGACGACCACCTACTTTGCAGATAGCCCAGAGTCACCGCATTTGAACCTCCGTGGCCACAAGGGGATTTTTATTTTTCCTTGGATTTGAACCTGTGACCTGCAGGTACTTTTGACCTTTGGAGCCAAGCTCAAACCAATCAGGCACCACCTTTGTGGTTATATTTTTTTATTAACCTGAATGTCCAATCTGTTATACGAGTCGACTAATCTCATGACGATCACCTGTATGGTGATTCCAACCTCGGTGGTCATAAGAGGATTTTTATTTATTTCTACTTGAATTTGAACTTGAAACCTCTAGACATTTTTAGTGTTTGGAGTCCAAGCTCAAACCAATTAGACACCACCCTTATGATTAAATTATATATTTTGACTTTTGATCTTTGTATTTTTTTTTGTATATATTATGTTTTAAATTATAATGTTTGTGTTGGATTATAATTTATTTGTTGTTATTTTACTGGTATTGTAAAGTGCATGAATTATATTAATAGTTATTCTGTTACAAATAAAAAATAACATGTTTTTGACAAATATACCCACAAATACAAAAATTATATAATAAAAAAACACAGTTATTTTATACACTATATAGATTATGTTCGATAACCATAATCTAACTTATATTTTGAATTTATCAAAAAACTCTATTTAATTAAGTATAAAATATCTAATAAGGAAGATAACTAAAAAAACCATTTCAGATGGCTTTTCGGTAAGTCTAACTGCTTTATTTCATTTTTTTCCCATTATACTGTTCATATGTTAAAATAATATAAAAAGGTGATGTTTACGTACCTTTTTTTTTTTAACGAAATGATATTAATCGAAGATTTTACCACTTTAAAGAAACAATTAATGATACTTTCAGTCAAAATTTAATTTATGAGTTAGTTTATAAACGTAATTTTGATTAAAAGGGTATGATGGTCTAATAAATTTGTTGAAAACCCAATATTTCTTTTTCCATCACAAATATTTTAATTTTTTAATATAATATATAAATATATATATATATATATATTAAATAAAGAAATAAAAATAAATAGAAAAATGCAATGGCCCACCGGTTATTATATGGTCCAAAGTTTGACTGAGGCGTCACTTCAATCGAGGCCCCTCTTCGTTGAATATCGAGATACTACTTGTTCCCTTCTTTAAATTACCATATTGCCCTTTCTCCTTTTTGATTTTTCTATATCTTCTTCTCCTCCTTCAATGACCAAACTACCCTCCATCTACCAGCCACTTACCATCTTATAACCAAAACTCATTTATTAATTTAAATCAATTACTTTTTCTCCCTTATTATAACAAACATTTGATTTTTATTTTATTTAATGAAACGATTTATATTGGTTTTTTCGACAATTGAAATGCACGTCATTAATAACGACTATGATATCCACCGGTACCCCTAATAAAATGGTTATGAAATAAGAAGAAATGGATGTTTTTTATATTGATTGTGAGAAAAAAAATCATAAAATTAAATATGAAACACGACTAATTTCAATACATTTTGATGTATTTTGACATGAAGTATAAGGTTTCAATTTTGATTTTTATTAAGTAGTTATTTTTTAGGGTCATGGTTCAAATGTCTAAATTTGCTCGAACCATGCCAAATGGATGTTGGACTGATTTCGTCAAAAATGTCAGATACCATAGTGGGAGAAGCATACACGTAATTCGAGGTGGAAATGAAGGGCAAAAATGTCAAATTGGATAAACAAGAAGATTTTTCCTTTTTTGTGGTGATCAAATTGTTGAGGACAAAATAGTCAAAGTTGAGTGAGTAAATCCATTTATGTTGTATACAAAGTGATAACAATAATGACATCTTTCCTTTGATTGGTTTGACTACTGGAACTCTCTCTCTCCTCAAATCTCTCTCTCTCTCTCTCTCTCTCTCCCAAACAAATACACATCTGCTTCCCAAATGCACAGTACTACTACTCTTTGAATCTTTTCCCCCAAACTTTTCCTCTCTGAAAGATCTCTAAACTCCCCCTTCTCCCTTCTGAGTATTTCTAGGGTTTGTTCTTCACAAATCTCACAAGTTCTCAACAGATTTCACAAATCTTGGAAGAAAGATTTGTGGGTTTTCTAATTTGTGTTGTTTTAAGACCACCAAGATCAAGAAATTGGAAATAATCAAACACCCAAAAAAAAAACCATTTCTTTTACCAGGTCAGCTTGTGTTCCTTGCTCTTTTAGATCTTGATTTTTCAACTTTTTCCAGCAATCTCTTGAATTTTTCTCTTGTTGTTTATGTCTTGTTTGATTTTGATAGAAATGGGATGTTTTTGAACCTGGGATATGATAAAGATTACAGCTTTCACATCTCACGGATTGAATTCATGCATTAATTGCAGTTTCCAGTTTATCTTCTTGATTTTTGAAAGATATGTTCTTCTTCTATATCTAGGTTTAATTTGATCTACTGATTGTCTTGAAGCCCTTCAAGAGTTGAATTTGATGCTGATCTAATAAAACACACAGTAAAACACAAATCTTTGTGTCTACATATGTGCATAAAAGTAGTTTTCTTTTTGATACTTATTATCAGTAATTATACAAGTATCTGTTCTTAATTTGTATACTGGTTTTAGGAAATAATTTGGGGGTTTTTTCAGCTTTACACAAATTCTTGAAAAAAGGATCACAATTTGAGGTTTTAGGGTTCTTGAAATTTCTTAATTTCAGATTTACAATCCACATAGTTTAATCTGATAATTGGCTTTTGATTTACAATGAAGCAATTTGTGTCAATATTTGAAGTCAAAATATAGACTTTCTTTGAGCAGAAAAATGGTTTCAAGATTTTCTTGATATATGTTTATGATTTCATGATTTTTGATACATTCTGCTTCTGATGTTCAAATTTGTAGCGATATAACTTGGAAAATTCTTGAATTTGAAGACGATGGGGTGTTTAACGGTGCTAAAAGGGAAGAAGAAGAAGTCGAATCCGAGCATTCATGTAAAACGAATCAACCCACAAGACCCAACCCCAACCACATTACCCGAGCCACTAACCCAAGCTCGAGGCCTACAGTCCGCACCACCAAGCTTTCGAACCAGGGTCAGACCGGTTCAACCGAGCCAGACTACAAACACAAGCCGTATGCGGGCATGGTCCGCTCCTTCAACCTTGGATACAGCCGAGCAAGACGCATTATCCGCAGCCGAATTTGAAGAACACGAAGAATCCAAAACCCGCGGTGGTGGGTTGCCGCCCGTCCCGCAGCCTTTGCCGCTTCCTGCACCCCATTCCGCTAACTTGAAACCCATGGGAAGCTTTAAAGTTGGCAGCGGCAGTGGGCCGCTGCTTCCCCTCAACGCTTCCGGCCCGCTGCCATTGCCGCCGTCGGGACCCCTTCTGCCGCCCACGATCCCCTCATCGTTACCCGCATCAGGAACTCTTAAGAACTTCTCGTTCGAAGAAATTGCAGCCGCCTGCCGCAACTTTTCACCTGATCGATGCGTGTCTGAAGGTCTTTCATCCGTTATGTACAGAGCTTCTTTCGGAGAAGACACTTCTAGCGTCAAGAATCACCAAGGCACCGTTACGAGCCTTCATCCTTCATCTCAGGTAATCCTTTAGGCTGCCGCGTTTCGTTTTAATAGAAAGATCCATTGTATTGTAGTGACTGCTTTTGGAAAGTCTCATGATTGTTAGTGTTTTTCAGGGTTTGAAGGAATTCGTTAGCGAAGTGAACACACTAGCATCATTGCAGCACCCGTACCTTTGTAAGTTGATCGGTTTTCATGCTCGTGAAGGATCCGATAGGAGGATGCTTGTTTACGAGAGGCTATTTCATGGGAGTTTAGACCGGCTTTTGTACGGGAGAACCGATGGTCCGCCTATCGATTGGAATGCTAGAATGAAAGTCGCACTTTGTGCTGCTCAAGGGCTTACGTTTTTGCACGAGGAAGGCCCGTTTCAGGTAATCGAAGATTTGTCTTTTTCGTAAATTTGAATCCCCGAATATGATCAAGTAGTGTTTGCTGAGTGTTTTGTTTTTTTGTTTCTCAGGCAATGTTTCATGAATTTTCGACTGCAAATATACAAATCGACAAAGATTTTAGCGCGAAGCTATCGGGATACGGCTGCATAAGTCACATTCCCGAGACTGACATCTCGAATAGTTCAGTTGTAAGTTCTTCCTCTCTAATGTCTTCATTGTATAATGAGTTCAAGTCACGAAAACAACATTTGGGGCGAGTTTGATACTTGGTGACGGACAATACAAAAACTTATTGTCCCCACCTTTGATGTGACATTATCCCGGGAGATGAGACAAATTTAGTAAATTACTAAAGTACCCATGCTAAATTAAAACCCTAAAACTTTGTATAATTCTTTCAACTGCCAGCCTCACTCTCGCCCGTTCAGTCATGTCAAGTCTCTTCTCGTCTTCCTAGCAAATGCACTTTTGGGTCGTGAAAAAGTTGGTCCGTTTAGGCTTATGCTTAGCTTGGAAAACTTGGTCCTTTGTCTTTTCCTTTCCGTTCACACTTTTGCACAAGCCATGGGTCTTTATGGAAATAGCCTTTATGCAAACAGCTCTCTACCCTTCGAGGGTAGAGGTCGGAACTGCATACATCCCATCGCTTCCCGACCCAGCTATTAAGATATTGGGTTTCTTTGGTTTAGTTTTTGCTTTTGAGTAAGATATACTGGGTACGTTTGGTTTCATCCTGTATGTGAGCATGAGCTATACTAGGCTCGAGTTGGCTTGCAGGCCCAGATGTTCCCTATTTGTATGCGTATTTGTTGACTTACTATCGAAATGTGGTTCAGGCTATGGCGAATCTTTCAGTAGAGACGCTTGAGAGAGGATTGTTGACCCCGAAGAGCAACGTATGGAGTTTTGGGATCGTGCTTCTTGAGTTGCTTACGGGCCGAAAGAATCTAGATTGTCGTCATCCAAAAGAGGAGAGAAACTTAATCAAGTGGAGTCGGCCTTTCTTGGCGGACGATAGTAGGTTGTCACTAATTATGGACCCTCAGCTAAAAGGGCGGTTTCCGGCAAGGGCTGCCCGAACAATGGCGGACATAGCTCAAAAATGCCTTCAAACCGATCCATCAGAGAGGCCAACAATGAGAACGATCGTTGAGCACCTGAAAATCATACAAGAAATGAAATTCTCGTGTCGGTTCCCGTTGCAAGAACCGTGCACGATTAACCGGAAACACATGGCGAAATCGCTTAGTTTGAACGGTATCATTTATCCAGCCCCGAGATTGAGTTACTCGCCATCACCACCACCACGGCTGCCGGTGCTGCCGTCGTCTCTCCCGCCAAGAAACTGTGCCTCCAATCTGACAATGGAGGGAGTCGTGGAGCGTCAAGAGAGTCGAAGATCATCATCTTCGGCTCGACGGTCCAGTGTAGAAGGGTTTTGAATGTTAATAGAAAGATTTATTTATTTTTGATTATTTTGTTTTTGTTTGCTTCCCCTCTCCTTTGAAGTGAATCTTACCAGAAATAGAAAGGTGGAAGATGTTGAATTTCTTTGGGATGGTTTTTAGGTCTTTTTTTTTTTTTTTTGTAGATATCAAGTGTTTTGGTTGGTTGGTTGGTTTATATATTAGAATCAGTTTTCTTGTATCATACAAATATTATTGCTTCATATCTTTCTATCATTTTAATATATGTTTTTCACACTTTTTAATCTCCTGTCCATTCATGAATTATGGTTTAGAAGAGAATTGATCTTCTATATCTTGATGCATCTCAGTAGTGTTGATCTTCAATTATGATTGATCCAAATGTGGAGATCTTTTCTTACCTTTTTATTCATAACTTTTCTTCTCATCGGAACCTGACTCTATATATTCTTTTACGAACCTAATAATTTGTACATATCTACGTATGAAACAATATTGTATAGACACTGGATTTTAACCCCTTTAATCTTCTAAACAGTTTCCTATTCTAGATGAATTAATGTACCGAAGAAAACAGAGTCACATGTAACCGGTGTAACCAAACGTGATTTTGAAGAAAACAGAGCCTCAGTTGAAGATTTCAGATGAAACAATGCCCCCATCAAAATATTTCGTGAAACAACTTCATTTCATTGGTGATGAAACAACTTATCAAACCCATTTTCTTTTATCCATTCTTTCACAGATTACTTAAAATTCCTTTCACTGGTGATGAAATGGGTTGGACGACCTTGATCTGTTCACACAGTTTCTAACTTTAACAAAATTTGCAAACGATTTCCCCCCTATTATGCAATCAAATTCATTGTTACAACATTGCAACTCAATCCTAAGAATCCATGATTTCATCTACGACCACGACATAATCAATGGCAAAAAGGTGATTGACGATTTATCTTGAATTTTATTTTTAAATAATTAAGGGCAATCAAGGGTAAATTAGGAATAAATAATACATAGAATCTCGATGTTTTAATTAATTAATATTTTTGAGATATTCAGAGGGAAATCGTCTCCGTTATCATAAACTTTTCATACAAATCACTTACTGGTATTCGAAGAAACAAGGAAAGACAGCTCAGACAATGGCAACTAATCCTTATGCAATATATTTCACTAGTGCATTTGATTTTGAATCTGGTTAAAAACTGATGAATATGAAGCATTTAATTACTGAACATGGTTTCATCGTTGTTAATCTCATGGACCTGATGGATTTCTGAACCTGGTTCCACGTACCTGATATATACACCACATCTCATTGTAGGACCTCCTAAAACATTTGGTTAATGATTATGGTTCCATTGTTACTAAAACTGATGAATATGATGTATTTGCTTACTAAACATGGTTTCGTCATTGTCTATTGCACTTACATACGCAAAATAAAAAGATGAAAGAAAAACATAAAATGTGACGTTGAAGAAGAAATTATTTATCCGATCATTACCAAAATGGTTACAACTAAAATAAACAAAATAGTATTCCTATAAATCGAGATAATATTATGTAGAAATCAAATAAATAAAAAATAGTAAATATATTTTTCATTAAAAAAACGAAACTAACCTTACTAAATTAAAAAAATAATAATAAAAATGTGGATGGACAAGAATGAGTTGAATCGGTTGTAACAATATGATGATGAGTTGCATCTGAAACGTGCTCTGTGTGTGTATATATATATATATATATATATATATATATAAGGTTGAGTTATATATCTGTGAGGATGAGAGTTATGATGAGAAGGGTAAGAATAAATCTTCATCTTTGAATCAATCATAATTGAAGACTTCCACTAGATCAACACTAGTGAGAAACACTCTTCTAAAGCGCAATTCATGAGTTGGTTTGAGACTAAAAGTGATTAGGGGTCCAAACCCCTTCTTACACTTTCACTATGACATTCATAATTAATATACATTTTCACTTTAACATTCATCATGAATATTCATGTCGTTCACATATATTGAATAACTCTCAATATTCATATATCATTGGAACTCATCATGAATATATGTTTTCACTATAACATTCATCATGATATATATATATATGTGTGTGTGTGTGTGTGTGTGTGTGTGGAGAGAAGTTCATTCAAGGAACCCTAAACATTTAACAAACTCAGGGGCTGTTTGTTTCCCTCTTAATGGTGACATTAAGAGGGAACCTCTTAATCGGTCAGAGGTTTGGGCTGTTTGGCAAAAAAAAAAAGAACCTCTTAATGGTTACATAAGGCTCTTAACCATTTTGCATCTCCTACCTCACTCAACCATTAAGA